CCCTCTGCCTGCCGCTCCCCTTGATTGTACTCTCACGTGCTAACAAATAAATACAATCTAAAAAAAATTTACTGCATCATTTCCAACATGTTTATCTTCCATTTCTTACATAGTCATGTTCCCTTTCAATCCTCAAGTATATTTATATTTCAACAGGTGTTATATATATATTTTTAAAGATTTTATTTATTTATTTGACAGAGACAGAGATAGCGAGAGCAGGAACACAAGCAGCAGGAGTGGGAGAGGGAGAAGCAGGCTTCCCCCTGAGGAGGGAGCCCGATGTGGGACTAGATCCCAAGACCCTGGGATCATGACCTGAGCCAAAGGCAGATGCCCAACAACTGAGCCACCCAGGCGCCCCTCAACAGGTGTTTTAAAGTCTACCATATTTATCCTTTTTTGGTCTGTTTCCATTATCTGATTATTTTTCTTGGCTATGAATCACATTTTCCTATATCTTCACATCTTAATATTTGATCGGATGCTGGACATAGTAAATTTACACCACTGAACGCTAGATTTTGTTATATTCCTTTAAAGGATGCTGGACTTCATTTTGGCAAGCAGTTAAGATACTTGAAGATCAAATTAATTCTTTCAAGGCTTGTTTTCAGCTTTGTTATGGTAGGTTTATGGTACCCTTTACTCTAGGGCTAATTATCCCCACTACTAAGACTTGCCCCCAACTCCCCATGTCTCCACTGATTGCTTAGGGTGTTTAACCAGAATTCTCCACTCTGATCTGCCAGAACTCACATATTCCAGTCCCGTGTGGCCTGGGAACCCCTCAGCTTATTAGTTTCCCAGTTGTTCTTTTCCTGGCCTTGTGGAGTTTCACTCTCTCTCTATATATACACAGCTTAGTATCCAGTTAAAAACTGATGGGGACTTCCTATTCCTTTTTTTGTTAACAGGAGAAAATGCAATTTAATAGGCATTAGTATGGGGAATCCACACAGACAGAAAATTCCAAAGACGATGAGGCAACAAGAAGCTTCTATGAGCTAAGGAAAAAGGTAGGGGCCTGAGGACACAAAGGGAAGAAAACTCATTAGCAAGAAGGTGAAAGGAGAGGTTTGGAAAAACAAGATTGTTCTATTATGCAGATGAGCTCCTTTGGTAAAGGGGGCCTCTGTTAATACTTCTTTTCCTGCAGACTCTTCTCTCCAGTGTAAATTTAGGCAGTTATGGGGGAGGCAGAGCACCTTTCCTGCATCTGCTGGGTTTTTATTACTTTTAACTTGAAACAATCTTTATGCCAAAGTGGCACATTTTGCGGTGTCTCATCCTGTACCCCTTTAGTTCCCCCATCCGGAACTTCCCGGGAGGTTCCCCATATTAAAAGTTGTGCTGGTAAAAAGCTGGTCTCATTGAGGCAGGCTTAGTCCTGACAATAGGTTCATTTAGTTAAACTCATTTTAAGAGATGATAATGCAGATGTGTTTTCAAAGTTGGGCCTCTGGTTCAGGAAATCAGGTATTCAACAAGAGGCATTTCTATGGAAACAAAAGAAAAACAATGGTTAATGATTAGGTCATAAGTCAGCCGTTGAGTCCTGAGGATAGCTGGTGGAGATTTCTAGCTGTCAAGTTGAAACTTCCTCAGATACAGGGAGAGTAGCAGTGGCAGCCGGACAGATTTCTCTGGTTTGCAGTTCACATGTCTCGATATTGCTCCATGTCCCACACAGCAGCATGCACGAAGATCGCCACACACGAGTGGTTGTGGTGATTTCTCTTAAGTTTACATCCAGTTCATGTAGTTTGCAAGGCTTCAGGAAAAAGGGCAGCTTTCGTTCTCAAATGAGACCAACTCAAAGGTGGGAGAAAAATAAAAAATGTTACTTGGAGAGTTGCAGTCAGGCACTAGAAGAAATCAGGATCTAGTCCAGTTTATAATAAACAGTATTAGGGGGCACCTGGGTGGCTCAGTAGGTTAAGCAACCAACTCTTGATTTCAGCTCAGGTCATGATCTCGAGATCGAGCCCCTCATCAGGCCCCGCGCTCAGTACAGTCTTGTCCTTCTCCCTCCGCTGCTCTCTCTCAAATAAATAAATAAATAAATAAATAAATAAATAAATAAATAAATAAAAATCTTTTTAAAAAACTTAGAATCTAATATTTACTCGGGTATGTTATTGAAACATTTTTTTTCTCTATAATCACCCTCAGTTTTACCAGAGATAGCCAAATTCACATTTGTTTGTAAACAAGTCTAGTTTTAACAACTTGGCCTAATAAGTATTTACGGAAGCTCGGCAGGAATACTGATTGGCCATGTAGGTTCTTTTAAATCTGCTTTGATGGAATTTTTCATAAGGAATTTCTAGATTGAACTTTAAATAGTGAGGCCAGAAGCCAAGCCAAAACGTGCACCAAATGCTTGCCAGACCTCGCCTGCAACACCTATAGATTTGGGCGAATTCCTCTCTCTTCGAGGAGGGGGCCTCCCTACTTCTGTTGCTCTTTCTTGTCAGTAACTCTGTCCTCTGTACTACTGTGCCCTGAAACTTCTAGTTGCCTCAGCCTTCCTGAGCACTCATCTCTTTCTCCTCAACTCCATGAACCACCAAACTCTTCTTGGGATCCCCTCCCTACATCATATTTTGCTACTGTCTCCCAGCAGGAAGCCAAGGCCATCAAAGGGCCTTTGTCCTCAATGGTCTTTTCGTTCTCAGCTTTACAATCCCGCATGGCCTTTGCTCACTGTATGAAAACTGTGAGCCTCGTATAGTGTATCTACGATAGCTAGTTGTTTACGGTAGGTAGGGAAGTTTGGTCCTGGTTACTCCATCACGATTGGAAATGGAATGGTGTGATTTTACTCTTGCTTGGGATTCTTAGAGCTTCTGGACTCCATGGCTTGATCGCTTTCATTGACTTTTGTAAATTTAACCACTGTTTCATAAATATTCCTGCTCTAGTTATATGTGCTTTACCTTTTGGCTGTTTCCCAAATGCCTCTCACAATTTGCTTGCAGTTGTTTGCCCTTTTTCCCTCTCTTTGGGACAAGTCTATGGTCCTCAAAGGCACTAATCCTGTCTTCTGCTGTGTCTAATCTGCTGTTAAACCCATACACAATGACTTCTTGGTTACTGTGGTTTTTTTTTCAGTTGTAGCATACATGTTTTATCCATTTTTAAAGATGACAACAATTTAAATCCTCTTTCACCCATTTTGTCTTTTCCTTTATTTCTGTTATATTAATGGTTAAAGTACTTTTTGCTGAGTCCAATATCAAACTCATTTGGATTTTCTGTGTTAGTTCTCTATTGCTGCTGAAACAAATTACCACAAATGGTGGCTTAGAACAGCACCCATTTATCAATTCATAGTTCTGTAGGTCAGAAATCCTGGTGGGCTTAGCTACTTTCTGTCTCAGAAAGTGGGAATCAAGGTATAGGCTGGGCTGGGATCAAGGTATAGGCTGGGTACAGGCTGTGGGGAAGGACCTACTTCTAAGTTCATTCAGGTTGTTGGCCAAATTCAGGTCCTTATGGCTGCTGGACTGAGGCCCTCATTTTCTGGCCGGCTGTCAGTCAGGGGCCACTCTCAGATCCTAGACGATGCTCGAAGATCCTTCCCCATGTCAACAACAGAGAATCTCTCGTGTTGAACCCCTTCCATAGCTTCAAATCTCTGACTTCCTCTTTGGCCACCCAGCTGGAGGAACTGCCTTTAAAAAGCTCCTATGAAAAGATGAGGCCCACTCAGATCATGTCCTTTTGGCCAAAGAATGTAACATAACCAAAGAAATGGTATCTCATCATATTCATAGATTTTACCCACAAAGGGTGTGGGGGGGTAGATTATAAAAGAGAGTCCATGGGGGTCATTCTTAGAAGCGTGCCTACTACAGTTGTTCATTTTGTTTTAACAACCACATCTTTCTGCCTGTTCTCATGTCTAGTAATCTGTATCAGACACTGTATATTAAAAAACTGTGTAGTTTGCCTTTTCCTCTATTCAGCAGATCAAGTCTGGGACTGAGCACCTCAAACCAATCAGGGTTGTATTGCAGTGTTAAGATAACCTAGCTCTCTTTGGCTGTTCCTCAGGCTATCCCTTCTGCACTTTTGTTTGAGAGCCTGTTGGGTCTCTGTCTCCCCAGACCAGAGACTGCTTGAGATTTAGTTTCCCCCTTCATAGATACTGAGCTGAGCTCTTGCAGGCCTTTGGTTCAACCTGGACTGTTTCCAAAGCATGTGACACCGCACAAGGGCTCACTTTGCCTTTCTGGCCCAGCCCACTAACCCCCCTACACCATCACAAACTCAGCAAACATCCTATGGACAAAACTAGTCATGCTCCTGGAGCTCTTTTCATTTCTAAGTCAGCCCTATATAACCTCTAAAAGCTCTTCTAGATCTCTTTCCCCTTGTAAAGTCTGGCAGCCTGGGCCAAGCCCATCCTCAGCTCACACCCAGAATCAGCAAATACCTCCAGATAATGGACAGCAATTGTCTGGTCACCTAGAAAAGGCACTTTACTCTCTAGAATTTTAATTCATCTAGTCCTCATTGTTTCCACAGCTCTGCAACAGCTCCCAAATATTTTTTTTTCCATTTATCCCGTTCCCCCCCACCTAGTTGTTGCATGATTGCTGGCCTGGCAAGACCAACTACAATGTCCATGGAAATGCAAGTCTGCTTATTACTTTCTATTAAACATTTAAATCCAAGACAAAAGTGAGACAGTAGTAAGTAACCACATACGATATTCCCACCTTTCTTCCACTGGGTGAGGTCTGGAAGGATGAAGGGCCTTGTGGAAGAGCACACAAATGGGCTTCACAAAGGAGCCACGGACTGTGACTCAGAGTAAGTGGCTAATGCTTGCTATATGGCTTACTAGCTCTGTGTCTTAAACACACTCCTTATGATTGTTTCCTCAAGCTGTGAAACATCAGGATACGTGTTTGCTTGGGGGGCGTGGGACTGTCATTATCCTTGCTTATGAGTGTTACTGAGAAGCAGAAAAATCCATTAATGTACTATTTTTATGAAACAAAAAAGCCTTTACTTATGTAAAGAAAGTTTAAATTATGTTTTGAACACCTTCCCCGTGAGTAATATTTAGAGAGTCCTTGCCGTAGAGAAACAAAGTCTGAGCCTGGATAAGTGATTTTTCTGAAGGTTGTGAATTCTTGGCCACTTCGATCCTCTGTGCTTCCTTGTCTACTAACGCAGCTTGCCACAGAGGCTGGTCTTGGCTTTCCTTGTGGTTGTCTATCCGGTCTCCAACTTGCCTGAATTCTAGGGAAACAAATGCAATGAATCATCATTTCTGCTATATATCGTGTTATGGGATAACATTAATTGATAAAAGCCCTGCTGAGAACCCCTGTCACTGGGACTTGGGCTGATGCGGATGGGCTCTCCCTGTGCTCCACCACCGCCACCTCCTCCAACTGCAAATACAGAGAAATGCTGGCTGATATTTAACAAAAATAATTAACACTCAGTCAAGCTGAAGATCAATGAAGAACATGATGTGACAAAAATGAAGAGGAGATTTAAAGTTGGGGTGAACAGAAACTGATGCTGTATGGCTCTGCAGTTGGGGGTTAAGGCTCTAACTCATGAGCGGAGTGGATTCTAGGTCACAGGACACAAATGTGCAAAGAACTAGAACTGAGCTACCTCCTAAAAGCTGGAAGTCATAAAGGACATTGCAGCTTTAAAAATGGGAACTAGAAAGAGGTCACCCCCTGGGTGATGAAAACAGAAGAATCGGGAGTTATTTACAACAAATTAGAACTCTAGTCCTGTACCACAGGTAGGCATGCATGCCAAATGGACAACTGAAGTAGAATACAAAACCTAGGAGTTGAAAAATCCCCCTAAACAATTGGTCCTGCATTAGTGAAACCACTGGGCCCCACTTAAAGGAGTTCACAGTAGGGGCGCCTGGGTGGCTCAGTCGGTTAAGTGTCAGACTCGATCTCGGCTCAGGTCATGATCTCAGGGTCATGAGATTGAGCCCTGCGTTGGGCTCTATGCCAAGCATGGAGCCTGCTTCAGATTCTCCCTCTCCCTCTGCCCCTTCCCCCCCTGCTTGTGCATGTGCTCTCTCTAAAGTAAATAAATGAATGAATAAATGAAATAAATAAATAAATAAAAGGAGCTCACAGTAAAAAAATTAAAAACCTTAAAAGGAAATGAGCCATGAGTTGAAACTTCAGTCCACAGAAAAACTTGCACGTGGAAATGACAGCTTCATAGCGGCTTTATTCACAATGTCCCAAACTGGAAGCAGCCTAGAAGCCCTTCAGTAGCTGAAAGGATGAATGAACTGGTACATCCATACAAGGAATATTGCTCGGCAATAAAAAGAAATGAGCTACCAAGCTACAGAAAGACACTGAGAAACCTTAAATGCATATGGCTAATGGAAAGAATGGTTAAACTGTGGCAGATCCATTTAGTGAATACTACTCAGTGACAAAAAGGAAGAAACTACTAATACAAAAACTAGATGAATCTCCAGAGAATTATGCTAAGTGAAAAGAATCAATCCCATAAGACTACATACTATATGACTTCATTTGTATAATATTCTGGAAAGGACAAAATTATAAAAATGGAGAACAAATCAGTACTTGCCAAGGTTTAAGGAAGGGTAAGGGCAGGGGTGGGAAGAAATGGATATGGCTATAAAATTCCTTATGGTGATGGAAATGTTCTGTATCTTACCTGCATTCATGTCAATATCCTGGTTCTATTTTGTATTATAGTTTTGCAAGATGTCACCACTGGGGGATACTGCAAAAGGGTACAGGAAATCTCTGTATTATTTCCTTATCAGTGCATGTGAATCTAGTTATCTCAAAATAGAAGTCTAACTTAAAAAAATAACCAAATATTCCAAGGAGAGGAAAGGGGAAGCAAGACAGTAACATCAAAAAAGAGAGGACAAAAAGAAAAGTAATAAAATTACAGAGTTAAATCCAACAATATACATAATCACATGAAATATAAGACTAAGAAAAAACACAATCATATTAATTAATCCATAAAAGCATTTGCAACATTCAATACCCAGTCATGATAAAAACTCTCACAAAACCAGGATTAGAAGGAAATATCCTCAACCTCTACCAGGCATCTATGAAAAACCCTACAAGGTAAATTATACCTAATGGTGAAAGAATGAATGCTTCTGGCCTAAGATCAGGAACAAGGCAAGGATGTTGCTCTCCCTATACATAGCCAACATTATACTGAAGGTCTTAGCCAGTACAATAAGGCAAGAAAAAGAAATAAAAGTATCCAGATTGGAAAGGAAGAAATAAAATAGTCTTTTACACAACTACAGGATTGTTCATGTAGACAATGCCAAATTATCGTCAAAAAAGCTACTAGCACTGATATGTGAGCTGAGGAAGGTCCCAGGATACAAAGTCAATATAGGAAAATCAATAAAACTTCTATAAACTAGCAATGACCAATGGAAAAATGAAATGCAAAAAAATGAACACACACAACACAAACCCCACGATTCATGTTGTAAGAATACACAACAGGAATAACTTAAAATATGTGTTAAGACCTGTCCATTCAAAACTATAAAATATTACTGGGGCACCTGGGTGGCTCAGTTGTTAAGCGTCTGCCTTTGGCTCGGGTTGTGGTCCCAGGATCCTGGGATCGAGCCCCATGTCCAGCTCCCTGCTCTGCAGGAAGCCTGCTTCTCCCTCTCCCACTCCCCCTGCTTGTGTTCCCTCTCTCGCTGTCTCTCTCTCTGTCAAATAAATAAATAAAATCTTTAAGGAAAAAAAAAAAAAAGAAACTGACAACCTGATTCTAAAATTTATGTGAAAATAGCGAGGACCCAGAGTTGCCGAAATAATTATGAAAAGAACCAACAAATTTGGAAGACTCAAACTACCTGATTTGAGCACTCAATATAAGGCTATAGTAATTAAGGCAGTGTGGTATAGACATATAGACTGATGCATATATATTCAACTAATTTTTGAGAAGGGTGCTAGGGAAATTAATTGAGAAAGAAGTCTTTTCGAAAATGTTACTGAAACAATCAAGGACTTTCCAACATGGTGGAGGAGTAGGAGACCTTAGTTTTGTCTGGTTCCAGGAATTCAGCTAGACAGTTATCAAATCATTCTGAACACCTGTGAACTCAACCAGAGATCTAAGAAAAGAATTGCTGCAATTCTACAAATAGAAAAGCGACCACTTTCTGCAAGGTAGGAGGTACGGAGACGTGAATACAAGGTGATATATCAGAAGATGAACTGCAGGGAGAGGGAGCCTCCATAAGCCAGCTATGATACAGCAGCAAAGCACAAAATCAGAACTTGGAGAAGTCTGCTCAGCTGAGGGACGTCCCTGTCTGAAAGGTGCTCAGGTGGTAAAACGGAGCAGAATCCTAGGTGGGACAGTGTGGTCTCAGGATCCCTGGGGTTACAGAAAGAACGGGGGTGCCTGAGTGCGGCAGAGTTCCCAGGCACTGGAGCGGGAAAGCTGGCTGCAAGCAGGGGCCCAGCAAGCAGCAGAATCACGGTGAGACCTCCCCCTTTCCCCGCCAGGAGGAGCAGGTGTGGGCTGCAGGAGTCTGCAGGGCTTGGAGACTAGAAGCAGGCTCGCATGCCTGAGATAGAAACATTGGGTCACAGGCCAGGCGAGCATGGAGTGTGGACAGAGACCAGGTAGACAGGAGTGATTGACTGCTTTTTCCCTGAGAGCTCACTGAGGAGTGGGGGGTGCAAACTTTAGGCTACAGGGCTGGCGATTGGGAGGCCGCCATTTTCATTCTCATCCTCTAAAGCGGAGCAGAGCATAAAGGCAAGGAGCCTTCAGGGAACAAAAGTCACAGAGAGCAATCTGGAGCCCCTTACTTAGCCCAGCCCCCTTGCAAGGGTGGTGCAATTCCGCCTGGGGCAAAGACACCTGAGAATCAGCACAGCAGGCCCCTCCCCCAGAAGATCAGCAAGAACATCTGGCTAAGACCAAGTTTATTCATCACACAGAACTGCAGAACTCCAGCGCTAGGGGAAAATAGTATATAGAATTCATGGGTTTTTTTTCTCATGATTATTTAGTCTTTCAATTTTAATTTTTTTTTCTTTCCCTTTCAACCAATTTCTTACTTTATCAACTATTTTTTGTCTTTTTAAATTTTCATTTTTATAGTTATATTCTATCATTTCATTGTATTTAATTCTATTTTTGTATATATAAGTTTTTCTTTCTTTACAATTTTGGGATGTAGTTTCTTATAACAAACAGACCAAAATACAACCAGGACATAGTGTATTGCTCTGTTCTGTTCACCTGTCTGTTTATATTCTTTTTTTTGTCTTTTAAGTTTAATTTTTACAATTACATTCTATCCTTTCATTGTATTTAATTTTATTTTTGTACATATATAAGTTTTTCTTTCTTTACAATTTTGGGATCTAGTTTTCTAACAAACAGACCAAAACACACACAGGATCCAGTGTATTGCTCTGTTCTGTTCACTTTCTGATTATATTCTCTCTCTTTTTTTAATTCTTTTTTGGTATTAGGTCTCTTCTGATTTGCTTATTAGTGTATATTTCTCTGGGGTCGTTGTTGCCATTTTAGTATTTTGCTCTCTCGCTCATCTATTCTTTGGACATACTGACAAGAAAGGTGGAAAAACTCACCTCAAAAAAGAGAACAGGAGGCAGTACTGACTGCCAAGGACATAATCAATATGGACATTATAAGATGTCGGAACTAGAGTTCAGAGTAACGATTATAAAGATACTAGCTGGGCTTGAAAAAAGCATAGAAGATACTAGAGAATCCCTTCCTGGAGAAATAAAAGAACTGAAATCTCACCAAGTCAAAACCAAAAAGGCTATTAATGAGATGCAATCAAAAATGGAGGCTCCAACTGCTAGGATAAATGAGGCAGAAGAGAGAATCAGTGATATAGAAGACAAAATGATGTAGAATAAAGAAGCTGGGGAAAAAGAGAGATAAACAACTACTGGATCATGAGGGGAGAATTTAAGAGAGAAGTGATACCATAAAGCAAAACAATATTAGAATAATTGGGATCCCAGAAGAAGAGGAAAGAGAGAGAGAGGCAAAGAAGGTATACTGGAGCAAATTATACTTGTGAACTTCCCTAATTTGGGAAGGAAACAGGCATTCAAGTCCAGGAGGCACAGAAAACCCCCCTCAAAATCAATAAAAATAGGTCAACACCTTGACATATAACAGTGAAACATGCAAATCTCACAGACAGGGAAAATCCTAAA